TCGTCGTCATCATCATCTTTGTCATCATCATCGTCGTCGTCGTCATCGTCGTCGTCATCGTCGTCGTCGTCGTCATCGTCGTCATCGTCATCGTCATCGTCATCGTCATCGTCGTCGTCGTCGTCATCGTCATCGTCTTTGTCGTCGTCGTCATCGTCGTCGTCTTTGTCGTCGTCGTTCTCTTTACTGTCGTCATCATGGTCGTCATCGTCGTCGTCGTTCTCTTTACTGTCGTCATCATGGTCGTCATCGTCGTCGTCTACGTGATGCTCATCGCCGTTGCTTTCATTGTCTTCACCCTGCCGTTGTGCTTTCACTCCTGGACCCGTGGGTGTGTGGACGGAGCACAACAGAGCCAGCAGCAGCCCCAGCAGCCAAGTCTTGTAGGAGGCCATTGCTGGGAGATGAAAAGAGAGGAAGAGAGAGAAAATGGTCCCACCTCCACAGGCTCACAGCCAGCAAACCTCCCAGAGCTCTCCCAGGATAAAGACAAGAGTCACCGTGAGGAGCTTCAGAGCCACAGGCCGCCACACGTCCAGAAAGGGGATGGTCTGGAGGAGGGGCAAGGAAAAGGGGAACTCAGAAATCCACGATAAGTTCTCCCACAGTCACTTCCCAAATATTCCAACTCCAGAAAAAGCCCACTCTTGTGCCTCCTGCACTAATTTCTTGGTGAGAAAAAACAGACACAAAGTCGATATTCCAGCATCCGAGGAGCCTCCCGTCAGGAGAGCTTCCTGAGTGACTCGAGCGTCGCTGTGTTTCCCAATCGGGCCAACGGCTGGGAGCCTCGACCGTCTCGCAGGGGGACTGGAGCAGGACTGGGGGAGCTGCGCGCTGGCGGGGCAGCCGAGGGCAGGCGCTGCCTGATTGACGGCCACACATGGAGATTCCCCAGAGCGGCCGGCCAATGGCCGCTGGGCACGGGGAGAGAAGGCGCTTTATTTTCATTTCTCCCGACTCATCAAAAGCTCGGGTTCAGCCATGGGGTGGGGAGTGGCTGCAGGGGGGGTGCTGAAGACCATATTTGAGCGTGGAGAGAGGCAGGACGGGGGGTTTTAATAGCAGGCTGTGTCACTGCAGTGCTGGCTGGCTTATTTAAAGCCTGTGTGAAAACACTGCTGGACAAGCCCAGCGTAATATGACCTTCAGCAGCAGCTTTGTCCCATCCGTCTTCCTTCCTCAGTCCCTGTCTTTCTGCGTCTCCATGTCCCTGAGCCCCTTCCCTCTCCTCTTCCCTCCCACGCCCGCCCAGGGAACAGGCGTCGTCTTGTTCTCACAACACTGCAGCGTGGAGAAGGCTTGGTGAAAGAGCAGGACGGGGCAGGAGTCCGCAGGGAAATCACAATGAAACAGCCACGGGAATCAGAGTGAACAGGATCATTAACTGTGAACGCAAATTACGGTTTAGTCAAATACAGTAAGATCAGAGCACAAACACAACAAAGAGATTAGACCGCTCAGTAAGGTCTCAGTAATTAGGTCTCACTATGCTCTATGAGAAGCCTCTGACACAATAGTGGCAATCTCTAAGATTAATCAGAGCCAAGGACCTTCCCCAGCCTGGGGTATGCTCCTCAGAGTCTCCCTAGTGCACCTGGGTCGGGTCTCAAGCGGTCAAGTCACCCAGGGTAAAAGCTCAGTACAGTAAAGCCCAGTGAGATCAGGGTAAAAGCACAGTACAGTGCAGCACGGCCTGGTGACATCAGGGTAAAGGTACAGTACAGTGCAGCACAGCCTGGTGAGATCGGGGTAAAAGCACAGTACAGTGTAGCACAGCCTGGTGACATCAGGGTAAAGGTACAGCACAGTGCAGTAAAGCCCAGTGAGATAAGGGTAAAAGCAGTGCTTATTATAGTAAAGCCAAGGGTAAAATCAATGAATCTCAGTGAATTCACATCAAAGCACAAAACATTATTGAAAATCCCAAAGAGGTCATCAGCATGATTCTGTGTCTCTCAATCAGGAGTGCTGCTCAGCTGGGAGTGTGGAATAAGCTGTCCAGCCATGTGGCTGAACCTGATATCCTGGCTTCATTCAGAAAACAGCTGGATAACATCCTGGGATCAATTAACTGCTGACAGACCCACCTAATGGCCTAATGACAGAGTGTCGATCAGCGGTGCTGGTCTGTGTCGGTTCTGGACAACTCAGTTCTGTGTGTCGTTAGCGGTGCTGGTCTGTGTCAGTTCTGGACGACTCAGTTCTGTGTGTCGGTCAGAGGTGCTGGTCTGTGTCACGCTGTGCTCGGTTCTGTGTGTCGTTAGCGGTGCTGGTCCTGTGTTGGTTCTGGACGGCTCGGTTCTGTGTGTCGTCAGCGGTGCTGGTCTGTGTCGCCCCTCGCTCTCCCCTCCCTCCTTGTCTCTCCCCAAGCTCTCTCTCAGTTCACTCAAATTTGCTTCTCTCTCTCTTTGTGTAATAAGAATTCTCATTAAAATCTGCTGGACAGGGAAACTTGACTCCCTCTGAATTATCTCCTTATCTGTCACCCTGAAGAGCTGTCACTGAGAGAGAGCCTGTATTTGTGTCAGCGTGTAGTGACTGTCAGCAAGCTCTCTGAAAGCCAGCTGGTCCAGTGGTTCAGGTCCAGTCTTGTTAGACCAGCAGGACAGCTGGTCCAGTGATTCAGGGTTCAGGTCCAGTCTTGTTAGACCAGCAGGACAGCTGGTCCAGTGGTTCAGGTCCAGTCTTGTTAGACCAGCAGGACAGCTGGTTCAGGGTTCACGTCCAGTTTTGTTAGACCAGCAGGACAGCTGGTCCAGTGGTCCAGGTCCAGTCCTGTTAGACCAGCAGGACAGCTGGTTCAGGGTTCACGTCCAGTTTTGTTAGACCAGCAGGACAGCTGGTCCAGTGGTTCAGGTCCAGTCTTGTTAGACCAGCAGGACAGCTGGCTCAGGGTTCACGTCCAGTTTTGTTAGACCAGCAGGACAGCTGGTCCAGTGGTTCAGGGTTCACGTCCAGTTTTGTTAGACCAGCAGGACAGCTGGTCCAGTGGTTCAGGTTTCAGGTTCAGTTTTGTTAGACCAGCAGGACAGCTGGTACCGGTGGTTCAGGTCCAGTCTTATTATACAGGAGGTTAACTGTCAAGTGGTTCAGGTGTAAGAACTGTCCTGCATGTTAGAGTTCTGCTGATCACAGCAGTGTGTGCTGGGTCTCGCTGTGTCCTGCAGTGTGTCAGAACCGAGGGCACTGCTGGCCAGAGGCTACC